ATGCCAGGACACTCAGAACTTGTAACCAGAGCACATAAACCACTGGGTACACATCAGAAAGCTTCTGGCCATCAGCACATTAATATTAAACACAAGGACAAGAAGAAACTTCTACTGTTTAAAAACATAACCACTGTAATGGTTATGTAATCATATATATGATTAAACAGGTAACTGGCATTTCCTGCAGAGAGCACTCTTTCAACCATGTGCTCTGGATTAAGGCTACAGTGGGGGAAAACTGGGACCCTCCTTTGTAATCTGTCAAAGTGATCTATTCTGTCCTCAAGAGAGCCCTCTAAGACAAAGCTCTACATGAAATGGGATCATTACATACACTTAGCTCTTGGTTCCTAAAGCTTTCTCAAGAGAAAATAAATTCTTCCCTACAACAAATATGCTTTAAATAAACTATTCCCAAGGGATGAACTAACTCAGAACATTTACATAACCGAAATAACTCAACAGCATCATCTAATCAGACCTTTTAAAATTTCTTTTTTAATTGAAGTAACTGACACTGTATATTGCTTTTCCTTTTTTCCTGCTGATAGATGTACACACTACTACCTATAATGAGATAGATAATGCAGAAAATACATGAAAAATAACACTCCAGAGAAAGAGCTGCCTCGTAGATTTTACTTCATAGTTGTTTTCAGTTCTTAGTTCTGGGCTAAGACCTTCTCCTCTGGTACAAAACCCCCTTGTCACCAAACATCACACTCAGAAAACCTTAATTCATGCAAATCTCTACAGTTTATATTCCCCATTTGCTGACAACAGCTTTTGCTCAGTAACTTCAATAGTCACACACCTCAGAACTGCAGGGTGGGAATTCCTCTCTGAACAACTCTTGCACCTTGAGGCCCTACCTGTGATGGGCACAAACCTTCTATCACTTCCCTGTCTTGTAGGGATGCTTTATGGATAAATGAATTGAAATGTGTGAACTGCTTACAAGTCGTGGCAAGGGAAGGCCCATAAACCAACTAAAATGAAAGGCTGAAGGCAAAGATTTTGGTTGAGGAACTAAACCTATTCAAAATCATGAGTGAATGTCTAAGAATAAATACTAATTGTTGTTGATTTCACTTAAATTTTTTCCAACCTTTTAAAAAAATCTGCAGAAAACCAAAAGCAAGCATATGTAGTATCTTAAAGCTCAAATACAAAAGTAGTTCTCTAATGTTATTTTTCATATGCATAATAAAATGTTTTAATTGGGTGCCCTTAGTCATAATCCCATTAATTAAAATTGTTAATACTTCTAGTCAACTTCTTTCAAGGGTTGTTCTTTAAAAGACACTGAACAGAAATCCTGGATAGTGAAAAGCATAACAAGCTATAATAAGATTGAGTAGTAGTGTTTGATCAAATCAAGTCTGTCACAAGTCTGAGAAAGTACACATAATTTTTTTTTTCCTCTCACACTAATTTCTGCATTTATGACTTAGTGAATATAGGGTTGGTTTGAATCACTGTCTTCATATTACAGCCTATAACATTTATGTATTTTACAATGTAACTGTACAGCAATTACAGATATATCAGGTTTATTGCTGTAGCTTAATTTTTCTCTTTTATATCCTTTCCCCTAGGAATTAGCCCCATTCTGAAGGCACATAAATTGAAAGAGAATTTTATAAATGATACTGTAGAATTTCTAGATCCTTCTCAGCAATTATGTGGATGTATATACACATACTCAGATGCCACTCTTAAGGCAGCTTCTTACATTTTAACATCAATGTTCCAAAGAAAATGGATATTTATATCAATATATATTTTAAAGAATTAACATAATCATTTAACTACAAAATACTGTTTCTCATTTAGAGAGAATTCTGTTTGCTTGGGTTTATTTTTTTCAAAGACAAGTGGTTCTCTTATGCTGTTTTAAATAGCGAGTAAATTCAGCTGTGTATCCCCCACTTGGACTGGTCAGATGGAAGCGTTTTCGTCACCACACAGTGACATACACAGTATGGGAAGGTGAATCCCCAAAACAACAAAAACACCTCTCAGAAGAGCAGGGTCTTCACAGGGGATTATTTCCAAGGGATCTGCAAAGAAACATCAGGTCTTACTACCACACAAGCTATGGCTCTCCACCTCCAAAAAAAGAGAGGGCAGGGAGGAAGGGACAGGAAAGAGACCTGCAAGTCAAAGATAATGGAAACAACCACGTCAGAAGAAAGGTGTTCTAAGTTTTCTACATAATTCCCTTTAACCTTACTTTTTGCTTCCAGCCTACTAAGCAATTGGATTATTCTGCCTGTTCCATTTTTATGCAAGGCTTTTAAAATGTTACCTGCTGGTTCCCCATTCCCCAGAAGTTCCCTGCTTCCCTGTACAGCTCACTTTGGGACCGAACACCTCACACCTCCAAGAACCTGGGTGCTGTCCTGATCACACCGACCGAGTTGGCAGCAAGGGTAACATATTTAATTCCAGTAATTTAGTGTTCTTTGCCCTATCACACTATGTGAACTGTACTCCTCCCAGGAGGTGTCCTAAGAGCTCTCGCACTCCCTCTTCTCCACCCCAAGAATGAACAGCACAGAAACCCTCCCTCTGCAGATACACAGCGTGCTTATGCTTTTTAGCATAACGTGGGAGCTTGATGCATGAGAAAATAAGGGAAAAGCTCTTTTCAGTCTTCACTGGATTAAGAACAATGCCTCCCACCATGCTTTCAGATCTCTGTCCCGTGAACTCAAGTTTTATCATCCTTGGTTTGCTCACAGTCTTTCTCTAGCTCTCTCTGATAGTTTGTTAAACTCGTTATCTAGAGACAGCAGAGACTGCTATATTTGATCTACCTACAGGGACTGTCTCCTAGATCATCAGTATTTCTCTAAATCAGTAGCAGAATGGGACATAATTCAGCTTTGTTTACAAATAATCTTTTTTTTTACACTTCTACCATCATAGTAAGTTTTCCTCCCAGACAAAAGCTCTTGTAGCAGGACAGTTTATCATCTGTGAAATCTGGTTAAGAAATAATAATACTCAGTAAACATTAATGAAACAGGTGTGATTAAACAAAATTTGTTTTCCAAGATGACCCAGAACAGGTAATCAGTGTTCCCATAAATGAGTTTAGGATTTGTATGTGCTAGTCCCAAACTTACACTGCTCAGTGAATAGTCTGAGTTCTACAGAACCCTAGCAGAACCAGCAAACAAAGTTTAAACAATGCTAGTTGTGTGCTTGCACAGCTTGGTAATAGCAAATGCACTGTAAAGAATAATGAGTAAAGGTGGTTGTATTACATGTAATTACCAGTAAAGGCATGTAGTGATCTGAACTCTTTACATCTGTGGAAATTCAATTACAGTATCTTCTGTTAGGGCTTAAAGTGAGGGGAAGAAATGCAGCTGGGTCCCAGTGAATGTGGGAACTGGTCATGCTGGGTTCAGTCTTTAACTACTCACATGTTAAACTTAGAGGGAATTTTTAATTCTTCCATTCACTGCAGCTGAGCACTTCCTAAAGTTGAAATTAATTGCTTTGAACAGAAAGAAAAATTACAGAGCTGAAGATGTCTGCTGTCTTAGATTTGTGGTGTCAGGTCCTTTCTTTTTTAATCACTGAGTATGTTCATGCTTGAGTCTACACCCACTCTAGAGATACCTTTCCTTTTAGACGTATTTGCTTTTCTGTAACTCCTGAATTTGTTTCTGAGCGTTATCTTTACTTACACCCAGTCAGGTTATTTATGCTGTAAAACATGTCAGCACAGAACAAGTCTGAGAGCAGGTTGTGCAACAGCACAGCACTGGGACCAGCATCTGTAACATGTGAAGAGCTGTTTAACGTTCTCTCAGAAGTGAGAACTAAGAAAAATCAACTAACTAACTATCCACATTTCACAATTTCTAAGCATAATACATGGCTAAAGTCATATCTAGATTGACCACAGATAATTATCAACCAAAAGTTATTTTAGTATGTGAAAATATTATAAATTTTTTTTACTAATTTTGCTTAATCAGTGTCCAGATTTTTTAACTTACCACCAGTTTCATGCACTTACCAAAACCACCTATTTAAATCATTAGGAGCATCTCTGTCACAGGGAGATCACCTATGTGATGATGTTTTAAATGCAGCACAATGCTTACTGCAATACACCACTCGTTATTTCTAATTAAAGTCACTATTAATCTTAAAGAGGAAGTCATCAGGAAGCTCAGAGCTAGCTCAGGAAAAATGACAGGAAAAATAGGGCAGAAAGTGTCAAAGGAGAAGATACACCACATTAAAACTTCCAACACCACCTTATTCCAAACAGAAATGTGAGTGCTTAGCAGTAATGGCAGCTGGATTCAAAGACAAAGGCAGGTTTTCCTGACAGTTAAATTATTTATGAAATGCACACTGGATTCTACTTTGCACTCAAGCACACTTATCTATTGAAATTCTCATGGCATGTCACTTATAATTTCTTTGCAGGTATTTATGAGAGAATTAAAAGGGCTTTATTAAACTGCAAGAGGTAGAACTTTTTTTTTTTTTTTCTCCTCATTACATTATCTGTAAAGTAGCTGGGACTAGATGTTTTCTTTTCTGTTAAAAAATTAGCCAGCCTACTTTGAAAGCAGCAACACACTTGCTTTTCATTGACAGAAAATATTTATTTACAATGGTATTTACATTTAATGATAATAAAAATAAATACTGTACAAAAACATTAAAAATGAACAGCAATTGTAAGAAAAACTCTCATGCTTCATAATATTAACAGTTGACAGGAGCGAAGAAAACACTCCCTCAGAGAGTGTCCCACAATTTTCTATTGCCTTCTTTTTTTCTTTTTTGGCACCTTCCTTTCAAGTATCTGGCACTAATCACTGGATCTGACAGACCTTGCACTGGCTCTAACAAGTGTTTACTGTCTTTAGCCACCAGGACTGATCTCACCCAAACACAGCACAGCACAGAACAGGGGAGAGGTACAGCTGTGTCCAAGAGCAGAACGTGTGGTCCTTCAAGGCAAGAAAAAGCAGGAACTTAACAGATGAGAAATTCAATTATCTTGTCAATTATTAGCCTGCAGTTTCCATAGATTTGTGGCTTTGTATCTGGGTACAGAATCAGTTTTCTGGGCAGCATGTTATTTTGTAAAATTAGACCAAAAAAAATCTTCACAATAAAGTGTTCCCAGTCAAGTCCTCTGAACATGAACTAAACAAGTGTTTTGGAGTCTGCTCATAGCCTGTACCATCAACTTAAAAAAAACCCAAACCATAATAAATGAATCTGATTAGAACACCAAATGAATTGAAGACTCACAATGATATCTGAAAGTAACTATTGAACTACTGCTCAGTCAGAACATACACTTATATTTGATGAACTGAGAACAAAGTGAGGCAGGAGTTAAAAACTGCTGCCTGAAGCCAAGCTTCCAGTAACTGATGCAATTTTAAGATGTACTTACTGATCCTTGAGTAGCTTCAGTGGGGTTTTCTAAACACACACCTAAGAAACTAGTTCTGCTCACTAATTACTGGAAATGTTGACTGCTGTGGTCACTTGCTGCCATCAGGGAGTCAAAAGCCCTTCCACCTGCAGGTTTTTGTCAAGCCTTTGCCTGCTACACGTGTGTGAAACACCGCCAACCAAAGCCAAAGTGACAGTTTTACTGAAACTACAGTGAGTAACTCAAAGGAGGAATGTCAAAACACAGTATTGATTCAGACATGGTTTTAAATTAACTTGAAGCTAATAAGGAAACTTTGGTGGTGCATCCTAAAATTCAGCCTGGCGATGTAGCGAAAGGAGGAGAAAGGAAGGAAATCAGGGGACACTGCAGAGTTTAGTAGCAGCTTGCCTCTAGCTCTGTGCTTTGACCAAAATTTCAGTCAAAGTTGTACGTGGCAGAGTCGAAGTACTTAGTTTCCAACTCAGGGAAGAGAACAAGGATTTCTAGAAAAGCTAAGAGCATCAATTGTTAATCATTTTCATTGATTACTTCCTTTTACATCCTTCTGGATGTTCATTTAAGTTCTGCTGGCAATTATGGCTGTTGCAAGAGAAAAGCATAGTCCAAATACCTAGTTTAGAGGTTAACCCAACTTTCAAACCCCTGTGTAGCCACATGAGGGGAGCACACTCTCAGCAAGCTGCTAAAAACTAAGAAAAACATTTGTGGATCCCAGCAAAAGAAGTTACTAGAAATCTTTTATATAACTTGATACACCCTTACTGTAAAGTGAACCCAGAAACTTTTATAAAAACACCCAGCATGAAAGGATTACCAAGATCTTTCAGTCAACTTAATTTTCTTTGACTGGAAGAATAGTTTTTAATGTGTTTTTATGGTTCAGAGGGCAGGATCCTACCTTTTTAACATCCCATTGAGAGGAGAGTTACTATTGACTCTCTACCAAACAAGTAAATTACTTTTAAAGACAGGCATGATCATCTGGCCAGACACAGAGGAACACTTGTTCAGCCAGCTGCTCATTCTAAGTGACAGGATTTTTGCACAAAAACCTGTTTTTCTTCTTGCTAACCAAAAAAGCCATGTAATCTACTTTTGACAGTCAGTTCACCACTACGAAACATAAGTATGAGCTCATTATCATTTCAAGCAAGGAAATAATGAGTTAAGGTACACAAATGTCAGGAAAACTATTTTCTTTGGTTCTAGGGCAAATAGTGCATGACTGAAAATGTTCTCTGCAGTAAGTGAAGCAGCTGGCCCAGGGGTGAGGGAGGGGGACAACAAGAGAGATTATCAAACTTTATATAGACTCTAGCACAAGATTTGTGTCAGCCAATAATCCAGACAATTAGCAAGTGTAAGAGATCCAAGAAGGGACATGGAGACAGAGGTTCTTTCGTTTTGCAAGGCCACCAAGGCTGAGCAAACCAGGGAGCAGCTGAAAAAAACTGCTGGCAGAAAGCAGAGCACTGAGCTACAAAGCACTGCTCCTTCTATGCAGAGGGGAAGCTGGACAGACAGCAAAATTCTCATCTCAAGCAGAAAGGGCCAATTTTCAAGAAACTGAAATATGAAAGGGCTGTAAATTATGGTGACAGAAACACGCACAATGACCAGAGTACCATGAACGAAAACAGAAAAAAATGCAGCATGTAATTATCACACAGTGACTTACAGACAAGTCTAACCTAGTGGTGATCTCTGGGATAATGAGGAGAAACACAGCAAAATTAAAAATATAACAACCTCAGAGGAAAAGTGTAACTGAATTGCAGGAGCCAAACAACGATTTGAATAGTGTTACAGAAACCTAAGAGAGATAAAACCTTATTTCCTCTTATTTTCTTGACTTTCCTATATCACCACCACATTCACGGACTAAGTCCTTTTTCTTGCCACCTACTAATTTTGAAATTTAAGAAAATCTTTTCCCCTTTCAGATTTAAAAATAACACTGTAGTTCCTATTTAAGTAGAGGAACCCAAATTTTTTTTTGTTTCAGTTCTAAAAATAGGTCCCCCATTAAGCAACTGTTTTGCAGTGTGGCTGTACAAGTATCTATGAAGCTCTCTAAAATTCCACGCATCCTCATGTCTCATTTGAAACTCCACAAGCACATGAACAGATCCAAAGTAAAGCTCTGCATATGTGACTGAACAGACAGACAGGAAAAAATATGGTGTTGAAAACCTACCAGGGATTTTGTGCAATAAAACCTAATGAAGGGAGAAATATCAACAGGAAGAAATGGGATACAACAATCCAAAGAGTATTTAAGTAACTCAGATGTATCAAAACCAGAGAGAAAAAATATGAAGAACATGTAAAGACAACATACATGGTTATGAGAAGAAGGCAAAGGGGTCCATCACCACTTTAAGTGGGTTTCCAAACAGAAGTCCTGGCAACAATTTGTGGAAAATCCTCACATTCATTTACTAATGTCACACACAGACGTGGACAAAACAAGAGGTATTTGATTTAAAGTGCAGGGGGAAAAAATGCTACTAACATAAAAAAAAAAAGAAAAAGTGTGATACAGGTTTCCCATGACACCATAATTAAGGGACTGTTCTTTCAAGACCAGAAGAGAGGATACAGAAATCAAACACACCCCACCCCATTATGGATACATGAATACTTCTTTGTGCTTCTGGAAATCACTACCAGTTAGATTGTTTCACTGCTGACTTCAAAGGAATAAAAACAGTAGACAAGACAGGAACAGGGTACTGGCAGTATGTGTGGTGTTTCCTTCCCTCTGTGATGCATGTTATGGCTGAATTTGTATTTGAATCTACAGATACATGCATCGAGTAGCATGTTACAATTTCCCAAAGTAAGGTAAAGGAATGATGCAGAAGTTGGCAGGAAGGAATCCTAAGAACCTACTGCAACTGTAACTGCAGTGTATGTTCTCATAAAGCAAGCAGAACCTTCATGGCAAAAAAATATTGATTAGAGCAGGGAATTTACTCCTAAGAACTAAAAATATTCAATTCAATGCTACATCTACACTTGGAGCAAATAACTCCTGGTGTTATTGCACACCCTTCCATGTTAGCACCAGAAACATTTTCTAGTATTTCAAAATGAAAATTTTCCAATTAGATAAACAGAAACTTTGTTAGTCAAAAACACTACACTCTCAGGGAAAAAAAAAGTTAGTCTGAAGTACTTTTTGAACTAACTTTACAACAGAGTTTTAAAAAAACCCTTCAATAATTTTATACAAACTTCTAGAAAATACATAAAGCCAAATTTCTAGAGAATACATTAAAAAATCAAATGACATGGACAAAACAATCCAAGACAGAGAATGTCCATCTATCTGTAAGGCCACACAGATCAGAAAAAGAAGCTGTCTGACCATCTCTTCAGCAATGCTGAGAAAAAAGAAACTTCTCAGTTTTTCTGAAACGATGATCTTGCCTGCAGTATTTTACCTCAGTCTTCTTTGTTACAGTACTAGCACAACAGGAGTAATACTCACACTACAGATTTTAATTATTACCATTGTGGAAACAGAAGTTGGCAATACAAACAAGTGATGTACGGGACTTTTTCCCCCCTGGATTTTGGAGCGGTTGTTCTATGAAACCACCACCACCAAAAGACATCTGCTCAGCTTCAAATCTGCAGCTGTGTAAAAATGTGGGTGTAAACCACCAAAATAAAAACACCAACTAGATAACAAATTTAAGATTAAAGGTGAAAGAGAACAAGTGTTTATGGGGCAGATGTGATTCGGAAAGAAGCTCTTTCCTAAGGAATCTTTGGATTTCTCTCAGTGCTTTCTGTAGCAGCTTTTAAAATTTTCAATCTTACACACACCAAAAGAAAGAAAATACAAAATATCTTTCGAGTCTCAGATATGTACAGACCAGTTCCCATAACCACAATGAACTGGGTCCATACCTGAAACTCCAGTGACAGGAGACAAGCTAAAGTGCTCCAGGGAAAATGGCACACTTTTGCAAAATAACTGGAAGAACAAAGTAAGTAGGTTGGGCACAAAAATAGTGAGGTGGGGAGGTCATCACCACTATAAATCTGCTCTCCACCCTGGAGTAGAGCTGATCTGTGCTCTTCCAATAGAACACCTTTTACAGTGCTGTCTGTGCTGCGTGGGGATGGCTAAGCTGAGGAATGGGAAAATGAAGTATTTATCTTCTACAAAGTCAGGCTTTAGAAAGCTTCTGTAAAATAAAATTACTGATAAATTGCATTGGTGCTGTGGGGGAGGCAGTAAAGTCTCCTCTTCACTTGCACAGGTGAATTTCCCCACATAGTTTCATAATCATAGACCAAAGCAAGATGATTTTTTTGAGAGAAGATGGTATAATTTTTGTTTCAGAAAGGCTGGGTAAGAGCATGCCATTGCTACTGAAGTAATACACTGAAGAAACTGAAAAATCAGAAATATATTTGTTGGCAAAACGATGCAAGGTAACAGCTCTGCCAAATTTACATTTTGATCTTTTAATATTTCTGTTAACACAGCAACCCTGTATTGGGAAGCAAAGTGCATTTTTAACCTTAAAAAGTTAACAAAAAAAAAAAAAAGGAAGCTTTAACAGGTATAATCCCACATCAAGAGTTTATTTTCAGTGCAAGTAAAATACAGATATTGCTTTAGTACACAGAAAACACCTTCATTAGGCTGGTCTCTGTTTTTGGCATACGTACTCCCCTGTGGATTATCTGCTGCTGGAAGATGCAGTTTTACAAATGTCAGTGTGTTAGGAATGTGACCAACTGCAACAAGACTACACTGGAGAGAAGGTACAGCAGGGACAGAGAAGGCTGGGAAACACTTGGCTCTAGGAACAACAGGCTCTTCATCTCCTGAGACACTGCTCAGTGGCACTCCCTGATCTCTGGCTGTGCCTCTGGACCAATGCACCTCTCACAGAAACCTCTGGGGTTTGGTTCTGCAGGGAGATGCAGTTTGCATGACATACATTCTATGGCAGAGCAGCAGCAAAACAGTCCTGCTATCTTGTACAAACATGTAAACCCTTACAGGAAGTTTGTCTATCATACAGTTTTAGGAAGGCTTTTCTGCTACTGTGTGAATGAAGAGAAACTTTTTTTTTTTTGGGGGGTGGAGAGGAACATCTGGTCAGTAGAACATGTCACCTAAACCAGCAGCAGGGTTTGCTACCTTGCAGATGTCCAGTTTGTAGTAACTGGGATCCAAGAGCCATGGACTGCAACAAACTGAAAAATTAATTAACTTTTCACTCCTAAGCTTGAGTCCTCCTTTCTGTGCAAGGATTGCAAAGAGTAGACACATCAGGAAAAGCATTGTGATACTCCTCATGTCTAGTAAATGCAACATCAATTTCTAAGATTTTTAACATGGCACTTTTAATTTAAAGTTAAATTCAATTCTAATTTAAATTCCTCACATTCAGATACCAATACTGAACTATGTTTGTTAGGTATCTGTGATAATTGCTGCTGCTAAGTATTTTTCAGGAGAATTTGTCTCATGCCTACTCCTTACTTGCAAAGTAAGTTAAAGTATGTAAACTTACTTGCAAAGTAAATAATTCCAGCTTGCAAAAAAAGTTAAAAACCTTATTCAAATACCAACATTCTGTTGGAACAAAAGTTATTAATTTGGTAAACACAGATGATGCACTGGGTTAAAAACAGCTGCTGCTATTTCTAGTAAGTAATTTCTGTGGAATAGCTCCCCATTTATTAGAACCTTTTCTGAATTTCAGTCAACTGCTGTGGTTTGCTACACCTGTGGGAGTGGGGACACCAGAGAGGACAGAGTTCTGCAGCAAATAATGAAGCTTCAACCACTGTGCAAAACCCAGATTAATTGCCAGTCTTTCCATCCAGACTCACTGGGAACAGAAATCCTCGTGGTGAAATGGCAGACTGAAACACACACGGTAAGTGCTCTTAGGGAGAAGGACCGGATAATCCTTGAAGAATTCCGTGATGCAGGGAAAGGAAAATGGCAGTGGGAGAGCAGCAGGCAGTGTGTGCAAAGCCTCTGAGACAGCAGGGTGTGTTTTTCAGCCAGGAAATAGTGGCTCCATCTCAACAAACACGGCTGGCAGGATTGCCCCTGCTATTTAAAGCCTCCACCGCTCCAGTTTTATAATGTGATCACAGGAATTCTGGAGTTTAATAAAAGCATTAAAATTCCTGATTGCATTTTTAGAAAAGCCCTGTTTAAAGCTGTCAGCAAATGTAATTAACACGTGCTTCAGAAATGACACATCTAACACGCCTGTGACTGAAACGTGATTGGAATGATTCCTTTTTACTCCATTCCTTTAGAAGCAAAGGATACTCCTGACAAGCTGGGAATAGCGTGAAACAAAGAACCTACCTTTGCCCAAAGATCTCCAGAATGTAACTGCAGAGCATTCTTAATGTAATAAAAGAGCAGTCTGATTTAATTTAGCTTTTTACGCTCCTAATCTTAATACCATGTGCTCACTTGTAAGCCTCTGGAGAACAGTGACTTCCAAAAGGAGAATGGTAATCCACAGAAATCCATATTCATCAACATTATCAATATTTTTAAGGACTAAATTCAGCAAAGTAGCCAAGAGAATAATGATTTTCAGAATGTATGTACTGCGAAAGAGAAAATGCTTTTAAATTCATTTTAAGTAGGTGAGGTCCTGCTAGGGAAGCAACAAAGAATTATTGTTGGTTGAGGATTCAAGAGTATAAAGCAAGATCTGTAGGGAAAAGGCATCTACATCAGCTGACCTAAAATAAGCAAGTTTCTGCATCCTTAGGAAAGGTTGGTGTGGCCTTTAAAAAAAAATCCAAAACCAAACAACAAAACCCAACCCTTTTTTCTCACTACATCAGCTGCTCTAAGTAAAAACATTATTTCTGCCCATGAATTATGCATGGATAAGAAAGAACAGAAGGCAGATGTAAAGAAAAGGCAGGATTCTTCTTGACCAGGCACAGACAGCAACCACTGCACCATATCAAGCTGCACACTCAGTCAATCCTTAGAAAATAGGAGACGTCTTCCTAACAATTTTAAGTACCTATGCTACATACAAATATGCTTTACAGCTGTCCAGATTGTATTTCCCACGTGCAACTGTCCCTTTCTCTTGATTTGTTACAATTCAGATGGAGGAATTTTATCTACAAATTTTGAAATGTGTGGTTACTCCTTTCTAAACTCATCTGCAGAAGAAACACCTGAGCAAATCTGGCCAGTACTTTTCATGTTTTAAGACAAAAAAACTTCAAATATTTATTAACTTTAAGATAACTGCAGTCTCAAAATACTATTTAATAATGTGCAGTAATAAATAATTTTAGTTTACATTAAAGTCAGCCAAGATCTGGATGAGGTGTGGGTATGAACAGTGAAATATACTCTGTAGATCAGCTTTTACTTGAAAGAAAGAGATGAAAAAAAGATTCTCCTACACTCATTTCACCTGGATGTAAAAGCTGATATTTGCAAAACACAGCAGGTCTACTTATTGCCACGTGCAAACGTGACCTAGAGAAATGCATCTTCAGGAACATCAATGCACAAGGACAACCCTAGGCTGCCCTAGTTCAGGGAGTAGAGCATTTACCTAAAGCTCTCTTTTCTTGGTATTTTTCTTGTCTTTTAAAGCAAACACTTTCAATCTAATTGTGCATGTGCTTTAGAGCTTTCACAACACTACTGGCACGATCTCTTCCAAGACCAAATCATTTTGAAACATAAAAGAAACCAGCAAACAAATATCAAGGTGATAAAATGTGCCACTGGGGACCATTATATAGGTTTTTATATATCGATATATATAACAATTATATATGCAAACATAACTGTTACATATACATAGTATATGTAAGTATTATTTTACCTCACTTTAACTACATAATCAGCAGGAGCTCTGAAGATGCTGACAACACACTGTCACACCTTCCATCTTCTTTACAACAAGTTTTTGCTGCTTGTGAGACACCAGGCAAGTTCTGAAACTTGTGATGATTATGTCTAATATATGATTAGTCACTATGGAATGAACAAACATTTATATATCTGAAAAAGAGATCCACTAAACATGAAATCTTTCCAATCCAAATACTGTGCACTTCCTCAAGCATGTTAAAAGCTGGAAGAAAAATGAGCTAAAACAATAAGGAACTTTTGATAGTGTCTTGAAGGCCAGTTCCTTATGTCCCATATACCAGTGGACAGCTGAAGGTAACTAAAAATTACATCACTAGGATTTCTGGTTCCTTGGTTTCTCTTCTGGCAAAAGAGGGGAGGTCAGTATCCTAAGATCACAGGAAAAGTCAGGCTCAAGGAAACCTCAGAAGTCTCTTGTTCAACCTGCTGCTCAAAGCTATGGGGTCAGACTAGGTTACTCAGGGGTTTATCCAGGTTTATTTTAAAAACCTCCAGGTGCAGAGACTGCACAATACCTAGAATTAAGCAAAACTCTCACTCTTCTACTGCACTAGTATGAAAAAAGGTAAAAAAAAAAATACACTGAACGTGAGATCATCTCTGCCGTGAAAATAGCCTTTTAAATGTATTTTCTACTGGACTAGAAAAGGAGATAAACTAAAATATTTTCTTTTTCAGAACTTTTAATTTTACTATAATATCTATTTTTATTATGGCAACATGCCTGGAACATCGAATGAGTTTGAACTCATTTGAACTTCTGGGGATACCCATTAAACTTGTACTTAAGTGGGAAATTACTTACCTAAGAATACTATCTATACATCAATCTGTGCTATAGATCTCCAGATATAAAACAATGGTGAAAAATTTCTTTTCAAAGAAAAACATTTTACTCTGTGCTCTATTTTGGGACAAGTTTCTCCCACAGAAAGTTGGGGGGTGGGGTGGAATATCAGCTCTTCCTTCAATTCAAAGATGACTCTCAGATTTTTTTAATCCTTTAGTGCAGCGATTATTTATAAAACCAGAAAGAATCTCAATCTTTGATGAAAAATAGATCTCAAGGAGCATTAGGTCTCATGCTAAGCAAGAAAGAACGCTGAAGTCTTGCTGTGCGAATTCTGGGGATGGTAAATGCTTATCAGAGCTACTCCTTCCTTAAGACAGAGAAAAAAATAAAGCAGAATAGGGCTATCTTGGAGAAGAGAGAAAGAAGTCAGTTATAAAGGAAAGTTCAAATGTAAAGGTATTGTATAATTATTTAGACTTGATTTCCCCAGCATACATATTAATAACAGACTGGATGCTGAGCTACATTTTCAATTCATTCTACTCTCTGTTTGAGAACTAGCTGCAGTTATTACAGCAGTATTACAGTTACTAATTTATATAGTATTATGACTCTCTTTAGAGGAAGGTTTTTTTGAAGTGATGGAAGTTTAGAATGTAAGATTTTAATATAACATTTAAAATATTTTCCTGCTCTATCACTCTTAAAAGGCAAAGAAGAAAACCCTACTGTATGTATGGTAGAAAATACACATCTGTCAGCACACCAGCAGCTGGGCTTGTTTTTTACTAAAAGGCATTTTCCTCCCCAATATTAAGCAGCTAAGGCAACATATTCCTCCAGCTTTTTTGAATGAAAGTTGTAAGTGTACTCTCTGAGACCGTGGTGACTTGGTAGAAGCACATATTGGAGTGCAGTTCTAGTTAACTTTCAGTGTCTCAGCTCAGGCTCATGGTAAGTTCCCTTTAAAAGATAAACTGGTAAGCAAAAAGGTTCATACAAAATTTCTGTGAATGGTCAAAACCAGACAAAGATTACCTTCTATCTTCAATAACAGTATGTGTAAAATACTTGCAGTTCTTGCCTTGTCTAAGCCAGAAAATTGATCTGCAGTGATATAAGCACTTCTCGATGTGGCTGTACTTACATCTGGAATTGCTCTACCTACCTACATCTCCACTGGGGCAAAATCAATGCATACACCATATGAGAAACACTGGATTTAAAAAATATTGCATTTTAAAAAAATACATAACTAACCCATTGATTAAACTGTTCAACGCAAGCCAGAACTGGGCAGCTTGTGTAATGTACCAAAATCATGCCTTGCAGAACTACAAATATCAGATGCTTCCACTGAGATAATAACTGCAAGCAGTAATCCAAGCTGTCTGGGATGGAAGAAGTGTTAAACTTAGTCTGTGAAACTTTTTATACGATAAAAATATTTAGAGAAGTTGTAGACTTCTCCTGTACAGCCATACTTGTCATGCTTACAGATGTGCTGCTGCAAAG